CCGAGAAGCCACGTGTGTGTGTGCCGTTTCTCCGCTCTCGTGTGCGACGCCCCGACCAGCGATCCACCGACGGCGCGCCGCCTGTGCCGCCCCCCCCCTCCACGCCGCCCGCGTCGTGCTGGAGGGCCCCGGCGGTCGGACGCGCGCGGGCGGTGGCAGGCGCGCGCTGAGGATCGTCGGCTCCTCGGGGCCGCGGAGGGGCTCTGGGCGCTGGAGGCCGCGGGGCGCTCCGAGAGCCAGGGAGGCCCTGCCGGCCTGGCCGCCGACGCCCCGCTGGCCGATGCGGCGGCACGCAAGAGAGGCCCTGCGCCGGAGTGGCCTCTGGGTGTGGGCCCAGAGGAGGAGGAGGAGGAGGAGGAGGAGGAGGAGGAGGAGGCGGAGGAGGAGGCGGAGGAGGACAGGAGGAGGCGGAGGAGGAGGAGGGGAGGAGGGAGGAGGAGAGAGACGAGGAGGAGGAGGAGGAGGAGGCGGAGGAGGAGGAGGAGGCGGGCCCAGAGGAGCCCACGAAGCATTGGCATGGGCGCCGTGGTTTGGCCACCCCGCGGCCACCCGAAGCCACGCACCAAAGGTCACTGAGTTGTTGGATGGATCTCTACCCGTGTGATAGTCCAACCTTTACCTTGGTCACCAGGAATTTCGAACACCAAGGAGATTCCGAAACTGGAGGGTTTTCCCGTGTCGGGCCCTGGGAGGCGATACTCGTTCGACATCTCGCCAGCGTGTCGGACAGACCTTGTCTCGATATTTTCCTTCACTTTCCTGGGTGCTCGCAATTATTTATTCGCTTCGCCCATTCCGCTGGCCCGTATTGCCTCGCACCTGTCGTTTGTCGGGGTGAGATTGTCAATGCGGTGCGGTTGGGCGGCTGCCATTTCTCGGAGGCAGTGGGTGGCGGGTCAGAGGCCTCACGGATGCTGATTGGGCTCTCGTGGTTGACCTCTCAGGGGCCTTTGGGAGGCAGTTTTGAGGCCTCTTGGGGGCCGTGTTGGGGCCTCTTGGGGCCTCTTGGGGGCCTCTTTGGGCTTATTGGGGTGCCTCTTGTGGGCCCCTTGGGGCCTCTTGGGGCCCTCCTGGGGTCTCCTGGGGGCCTCTTGGGGCTGAAGGCTCGACTTTTCGGTTCCTGGTCCCCTTCTTGGGCCCCTCTTGGGGCCGTTTGGGGGCTCTCTTGGGCCGTCTTGAGCGCCTCTTGGGCTGCCTTGGGGCCATCTTGGGCCGTCTTGGGGCCCTCTTGGAGGCTTCGTGGGCCGTCTTGAGGCGGTCTTGGAAGCCTCTTGGGCCGTCTTGGAGCGCCGGTATGCCGAAAAGGCGAGAACGCCAAAAACCGTCAGAAACTGAAGGAAAATCTCAACTTTCTGCCTTTGTGGGTCCTCTTGGGAGGTCTCTTGGAGGCCTCTTGGGGCGTCTTGAAGGCGCTTTGGGCTGTCTGGAGGCAATATTTGGCGTCTTGGATCGCTCTTGGACCGTCTCGGACCATGTTGAGCTCTCTTGGAGGCAACCGGGACCTGCCCAGGACTTGCGGGGGTGTTTTTCGTCCGGGGATCCCCAGGGGCGGCCCCGTTCGCGCGAACTGGAAATATTGTTCAGCAGCTACCGGAGATCTCAGCACGCCCTTGGCCCGTTGGGCCGGCGACTTAGTGGGATGTGGTCCTTACGTTGGATGGGAACAGCATAACTCTAAGCCTCTCCGCCGCCTGAAGTGGCGTTCAGAGCAGGACCGCAGCAAAGCCACAGGAAAGCGTGTGGCATGGACGGTGTCTCTCCGCACGCGTGTCAAGTGCTCGAGCGAGCAAGAACTCAAGAGGGGAAAGAACAGACAGACATAATTCATCGTCGACTCCCAGGAAGGTAAGCGAAGATATGGGAAGGGTGTTGGGGAAGACGAAGATCCAGACAATATGGAAAAGTATGGGGAATCTGGGGATCTGTGCGTATTTACTTGTGTGTGTCCTTTTGGACCCCATTGAAGAGGAGCGACGGCCCCAGGACAGCGAGGCACGTGGCAGTGCAGCCCAGGGGGCACCTCCTGCGCGCCGCCGACCCGTGCCATGCGCCTGATCGCCGAGGTCTTACGTCGGGCCTGTCCCTCTACAGGAGGGAATATTCAAAAACAGCAAAGGAAAAAGTATGGGGACGCTTAGTTTAGTACGTCTGACCATTCTGTTTTTGTTGCTCGACCTCTACAGGAGGTATTTTTTGTGACTACTGTACTTTTTGTTTTTCGCCCAAAATCCCCCTGTAGGAGGACAGGCCCGACCTAACCGAGGTCCCCTGGGACTGCGAGGGCCACCAGCTCCTCGCCGCGCGGCTGCTGCGCCTCGCGGAGGGCGCCGCCGCGGGGCCGCGGGTGGACCTGCTGCAGTTGGCCGCCCGAGCTGCCGAGGCCCCGCGGCTCCTCCTTTTCCTCCTCCTCCTCCTTGCTCCTCCTCCTCCTCCGCCTCCTCCTCCGTCCCCTCCGTCTCCTCCTCCTCCTCCGCCTCCTCCTCCTCCTGCTCCGTCTCCTCCGTCTCCTCCGCCTCCTCCTCCGCCTCGTCCTCCTCCCACTCCTCCTCCTCTTCCTCCTCCTCCTCCTCCCCCTCCTCCTGCGCCTTCTCCTCCTCCTCATCATCCCTCCTCCTCCTCTCCTCCTCCTCCTCCTCCTCCTCCTCCTCCTCCTCTCCTCCTCCTCTCCACCACCTCCTCCTCCTCCTCCTCCTCCTCCGTCTCCTCCGCCCCTCCTCCGCCCTCGTCCTCCTCCCACTCCTCCTCCTCCTCTTCCTCCTCCTCCTCCTCCTCCTCCTCCTCCCCCTCTCCTGCGCCTTCTCCTCCTCCTCCTCATCCTCCTCCTCCCCTCCTCCTCCTCCGCCTCCTCCTCCTCCTCCTCCTCCTCCGCCTCCTCCTCCTCCTCCTCCGCCTCCTCCTCCTCCTCCGCCTCCTCCTCCTCCGCCTCCTCCTCCTCTTCAGGCAACTCGATGGGCGGCGGGGGACGGGTTCGGGCTTCGTCGGGCGTGTGGCGAAGTCCGAGCCCTCCACCCGCCCCCCATCGGTTTCAGAGAACCGATGGCTGGCGGGGGCAGGGCTCGGATGTCGCCACCTAGAGAGGCGTGCATGCCCTTCCACCGCATGGGGCCCGAGCACGAGGACGGCAGCCCCATCGAAGCGGTCGCCAGACAGGAGTACCGAGTCGCTCTCGGAGAGCAGAAACAGGCGTGTTTGCACCATGCCTCGGAGCTCCTCGCGGACCGCTTGGATCGGCGCTGCGCCCCCCCCCCCCCCCCACGGCGGCGCCGCCCCCCGGGCGGTGCTCTGCGGGGCCCAGCGCGGAGCCAAGGAATCGTCGAGGACCTCCGCGACGCGAGGCTCGCGCCGCTTTGTTTTTGCTCCTCGGCGCTCGCAGCACCTTCCGGGCGGCGGTGGCCCAGCTCTACGAGGCGCTGCTGCCCGCCCGCAGGCCGTGGCACGACGCGCGCAGTCCCGCCCTGGCGCCCGGGGCCCCCGAGGTGCACGTCATGCTGAGCGTGTTCGGCTCCTACGGCGCCTTCGCCGGGCCCACGCTGCGGAGCCTGCTGGTGCTCGGGGGCCCCCAGACGGGGTGGTGACCACACCGTGCGGTGAGTCGGTGGGGATTCGGGGTCACCGCGCGGTCTTGGGACTCGGAGTCCCTCTCCGAGGACGTCTCGGGCGACAGGGGCCTCCAGGGTCCCAGGACCGTGCGGTGACGGACCGTGCGGTGAGGTCTCTTGGGATCGAGGTCACCGCACGGTCTGTCACCGCACCGTTTCGGGACTCCAAAGGTGCACCGGACCTGCGGGGTGGCCTTCCATTCGGGCGGGTGGTGATGTCGAGGGCAACGGTGGGGGGGATAGGCACAGCGTGAAGTCAGGCCTGTCCCTCTACGGGAGGAGCATTCGAAAAATTATCCCAGTGCGACCCTACCTAGGAGTTGGAACCCCTAGGAAAGCAGCATTGGTAGTAACAGTAACGCTAAGCTAAAGCTAAGCTAAAGCTAAGCTAAAGCTAAGCTAAAGCTAAGCCACAGTTAAGCTAAAATTAAGCTAAAGCTAAGCTAAAGCTAAGCTAAAGCTAAGCTAAAGCTGAGCAACAGCTAAGCTAAAGCTAAGCTACAGCTAAGCTACAGCTAAGCTACAGCTAAGCTAAAGCTAAGCTCAAGCTAAGCTCAAGCTAAGCTACAGCTAAGCTCAAGCTAAGCTAAAGCTAAGCTAAAGCTAAGCTAAACGCTAAGCGAAAAGCTAAGCGAAACGCTAAGCTAAAGCTAAGCTACAGCTAAGCTAAAGCTAAGCTAAAGCTCCCAGGGGACTGGGGGGAACCGCTCCCAGGGGACTGGGGGAACCGCCCAGGGCGCTTAGCACTGCCCGGCCCCTTTAAGCTAAGAGAGTAAGAACCCTTCTAGGCAGAGCCTAGGTAGGGAATAAGGAAAAAATGGTTTGGGGACGATGTTGTGACAATTTTCGACAATGTTTGAGCATATTTGGATTAGTATTTTCTTCCGCGCAAAATCCGCCTGTAGGAGGACACGCCCGACCTCAGCATAGGGGGGGATGCATCGACCCCCAATCACCCATTGATCGCCGATAGGGGCCCGATAGCCCCAGCCTGCCCAGGAACGTCCGTACGTATTCAGTATCGGGGGCCTATCGGCGATGTATCGTCGATTCCAGATCGATGTTTCCCCCCTGCCGTTGCCCCTCATCATGGAGGGTGACCTACATGGGGCGAAGAAACAGACCCTAAAGGGGCCCGTCAGGGCCCCTTTGGGAGCCAGCAGGGGCCCGAAAGGGTAGGGCCTCACCATTCATCCCCCATGTGGTTCACCCCTCGTCAGCACCCGCCCGATCCATGTGGTGGGCGACCTGCGCGGTTGGAGCAGCCTCACGGCAGCCGTGCAGGAGCTGCCGGAGCATCTGCTGCGCGGTGTCTCGTGGGACTTCACGTACCTGTGGCAGGAGAAGCACGGGTTGCTCGAGCAGTTGGCAAGGCTGCCGCGCCTCTGCCTGAACACCTTCATGGGCCACAGCGCCTTCGTCCGCGGGGTCTTCACCCACCTGGTGCTGCCACACCTGCAGCGGGTGCTCTACGTCGACATCGGGGACGTGCTGGTGTTCGGGGACGTCGCCGAGCTGTGGGGCCTCTTCGACCGCTTCGATGAGCACCAGCTCGTCGGGATTGCGGACGAGAATGGCGTCGGCTTTCTACACGGGGAGCGCTATGGAAGCCAGAAGAAAAGGCGCTGGACCAATACGGTTAAGTCGGGCCTGTCCCTCGACAGGAGGAATATGTCAAAAAATGGCCTGGGGACGATTTTTTGAGCTGGTTGGACTATTTTTGAGTATGTTTGGGGTCGCTTTTTCTTTGTCGTCCAAAATCCCCCTGCAGAGGGGGACGTGCCCGACCTAACAATACGGGGATCCTGCTTCTGGATCTGGAGAGGCAGCGCCAGGCGAGGTTCGAGGAGGAGGCCGTAAGGGTCTCCTGGTCGCAGGAGAACGCCTGCCATCAGGCCGACATGTCGCTGCTCGGCTGGATTCTGATCCAACTGGGGGAACAAACAATGGCATAAGCATGAACACTCGGAGGTCCGCGCAGATTTCTCGGCTCCGCCCTGGGCGCGCTCCGCGCGCCAGGGAGCGGGCTCCGGCGCGCATCCGAGAGCTCCGCGCGGACCTCTGAGCTTTTATGCTTTATGCCCTCCTTCGCTCCTCCATCAGCAGCCGCAGTGGAGGTTCGAGCTGTCGAGCCTGTGGCACTACATGCCCTCCACGGAGTGGCAGACCGCCGACTTCGACAGCAGCTACGTCAACAGGTCCTGGCCCGCGGAGCTCGTCCGCTTCCGGCTCTTCCCTGGGCTTCGCGGCCCCGCGGACGTGGAGCACCCCTGCGCCCAGTGGTACGAGCTGGCCGGGGACATGCTCCGGGGCATGATGCACGCGCAGATCAGCCTTAAGTCGGGCGCGTCCCTCGACAGGAGGCACCATCAAAATTGTCAAAAAATAGTTTAAAAATTGTTAAAAAGTATCCGGGGACGATTTTTCAACATGTTTTGCCTATTTTTGATTACTCCAGATTTCGCCATAAAAGGGAGGGGGTCACAACCCTCACAGACGGGCAATTTCAGACCCCCCCAAACAAGCCATGAAAGGGCGGCTGTTTGCCCAGACCCACTGGGACCCTCCAAGACAGCTCAACTCTGAACCCCTCCCAAATCAGACCGCCCCCCTTTTGTTGTGAAATCTGGAGTACTTTCGGTCCAACATCCCCCTGTAGGGGACCCAGACCCCCGACGTCATGATTTTTTCATGACGCGACCCCCAGAGAGGTCCCGACCCATTCCCCGGGACCGGTTTTTCGTTCTGAGTTGTTTTTTGACGGCCCCGCGGCCCGGTAAGGGCCCCCGGAGGCCGAGAATAGCGAAAAACCTCCCGTCGTGATTTTTTCATGACTCGAGGAGGTCTGGGTATTGTGAAATCTGGAGTACTTTCGGTCCAAAATCCCCCTGTAGGGGGACATGCCCGACCTAAGATCAGCGGCAAGTCCCACCTGAACAGGGAGCGGCTGCGCTGGGCCATCAGCTCCCACGCGCGGCCGGACCCCTTCTCGACCGGCGCGAAGACCAAGGATACTCCCACACCTCTGCCCTTCGCCCGCTTTCCCCCCTTTCGGGCCTCTCCTCGGAGGCCCTCCCAGACCTCCTCGAGTCATGAAAAAATCACGACGGGAGGTTTTTCGCTATTTTCGGCCTCTGGGGGCCCTTACCGGGCCTCGGGGCCGTCAAAAAACGACTCAGAACGAAAAACCGGTCCTGGGGAATGGGTCCGAACCTCTGGGGGTCGCGTCGTGAAAAAATCATGACGTCGGGGGTCTGGGTCGGAGGCCCTCGCTGCCACCGCTGGATTCATCTCGAAATCCTGGTCAGGACGCACCCCGCGAGAGGTCCGGGGAGCAGCGGTATCGGTACCTCTGTTTGTCTCCCCAAGGACTGCACGTGCGGGGCGCGGGTGCAGCTCCTGCACCTCGTGTCGCACTACAAGTGGCTGCCCTGGGCGAAGCGGCTGCTGTCCTACTGGTCGGACGGCGCCCCGCCGGCGATCGGCGCCGGGCAGCACTTCTACACCAGGCCTCGGCTGCACGTGAGCCCAGGCATGCGACATCCTGATTTTGTTTAGTATACGGGGCCCCTGGAAGTCCGGACCCTTTCCCTTGGACTTCGTTTTCGTCCGGAGTCGTTTGTTGACAGTCCCGAGGCCCCGCGAGGGCCCCCCGAGGCCGAAAATTTGCAAAAACCTCCTGCCCTGATTTCTGTTACGACGCGAGCACGTCTGGGGCTGCACGCGAGGGTGACTCTGCGCTGGAGCGACCTTCGGGGCGCGGCTGCCGGGGGTTGCGCGGGGGCCAGCCCCAGGCACTGCCAGGCACGCAGGCCGCCACCTTCCGCACACTGCATGCAACGACCAGCAGTCCGCGGGCCAAAGGACGCGATCCTGCCCACCCTGAGATCCGACGTTGCCCCCCAAAAAATTGCACCATCGCCAGAAATCACGACCGGAGCCCCCAGACCCCCTCGCGCTGGGAAAAAAACACGACGGGCAGTTTCTCTATGTTTTCGGCCTCCGGGGGCCCTCACCGGGCCTCGGGACCGTCAAAAAACGACTCGGGATGAAGAACCGGTCCCGGCGAAGGGGTCCAGACAGACCTTTGAGGTCGACGTCACCGTCGCGGAAAAAACTTGGCGTCGGGGGTCTGGGCCCTGGACCCCATCCTTCCGCACCCTTCCTCGATCCGCGGCGATCCGTGAGGGCCCCTTGGAGGCCCGAGCGTGGAGCGGCAGCACGCCAGGCGCGAGGGTGCACGGCCGCGCCAGGGCCTCCGGGCCACGGGGGGGGGCCCCCTCCCCGCGGGGAGCCGCAGAGGTCGCTGCTCGCGGCGGAGCTCCTGGAGATGGGCGCCGGGCTGCCGCGCGCGCTCTGCGCGCAGGGGCTGCGGGAGGCGGAGGCCGCGGGCCTCCTGGGCCCGCCGCCGCAGGCTGCGGGCGCCGAGCCCCTGGCCGAGGGGCAGCTCTCGGCGCAGGCGCGCAGGTGCGAGGCGCTGGGGCGGCTGCCGAGGCGCCCGGGCGGGTGGCCGGAGGAGGCCAGAGGCCCCGTCTGCCGGGTGGGCGACCGCGTGGCGGTCACGGTGCGCAGGTGATGGGGCAGCTCTCCACCGCCACTGTGCCATAGGCAGGACGGGGGGCGGAGGGATGAGGAGGAGGAGGAGGTCCTCCTCCTGCGCCTCCTCCTCTCCTCCTCCCTCCTCTTCCTCCTCTCCGCCTCCTCCTCCTCCTCCTCCTCCTCCTCCTCCTCCTCCTCCTCTCCTCCTCCTCCTCCTCCTCCCTCCTCCTCCTCCTCCTCCTCCTCCTCCTCCTTCCCTCCCTCCTCCCTCCTCCCTCCTCCCTCTCCTACCTATGGTAGCGGTGGTGGAAAATGGGCCCATCAGCATACCTGGAGTCGAGGAGCACGTGGAGCCCGGCTTCATCGCAGACGTCCGGGCCGAGAAACAGCAGGTGGGCGACGAAAAAATACAGGTTCGTCTACACAGACGTTCGCGCGTAAGTTGCCCGCGCGAGCTCGCGCGTAAGCGCCCTCGTCTCCAATGTGGCGTGCCGCGCCGGCGGCCCGCGTAAGCCGCCGCGTAAGGTCGCTACGTCATCTCGCGTAAGACACGTTGTTGATCGTCGCCCAGGTGTGGGTGGACTGGGACGACCTCGGCGTGCGAGGCCGCGAGGTGGCGCTGGTCGATGTGCGCCCTCTCGGCAGCGACGGTGACGTTGCCGAGGCCGCGCGAGGCGCCCCGTGCAGCGCCGTGCTCCGGCACGAGCTGCTGCTGGCCAGCGCCGCAGCGCAGACAGACGGGAGAGTCGCCCTGTGCGTCCCGTCGCAGTGCATCTCGAGGAACAAGTCCAGAGCCCCTCGCGCTGTGAAAAAGTCACGACGGGAGGTTTGTCGCTATTTTTGGCCTCCAGGGGCCCTTGCCGGGCCTCGGGACTGTCAAAAAACGACTCCGGATGAGAAACTGGTCCCGGGGAAGAGGTCCAGACCTCGGGGGGTCGACGCTGTGAAAAATCACGACGTCAAGGGTCTGGGAGAGCGGCACAACAAGCGCAAGCTTTCGGAGCTCCGGGAGGATTTCTCGGACCTGCGCCGGACCGCCGTGCGTCGCCTCCGGCGCCGCCCTGGGAGCGCTCCGGAGGCGGCGCGGAGGGGGTGCCCAGCGCATGTCCAGGCAATCCGAGCGGAGCCCCGAAAGCTGGTGCTCGTGCCGTTCTTGGTTCCTCCAGCGTTGGCCCCGCGCCGGGGAGCGAGGCCGAGCGCTTGCTCCAGAGGCTCGGGCGCGTGGCAAATGGGGGGTGGCCCCGCGGCCTGCGCCTTCCGCACCTCCCGCGCGGCGGGTGCCGCGCTGTCGCGGGCACCGCAGCGGCCGCGGCGGCCGCATCGCGGCGGCACCTTCAGCGCGGCAGGCGCGGAAGGTGCAGGTCGAGGGGGAGCCCATCCCTTCCACTAGCACTTCGCTGCATGCGCCGCCACCTCTTCCCGAGGCTTCTTAGGCGGCCAGAGGCCCACCCGTCGCTCTCCGAGGTCCCTCCTCTCCTCCCCCCCTCTTCATTCTCCTCGCGGAATGGGGGGGGGGAAGCAAAGGGCCCTCAAGCTCCTCCTCCTCCTTCCTCCTCCTCCTCCTCCTCTTCCTCTCCTCCTTCCTCCTCCTCCTCCTCCTCCTCCTCCCCTCCTCCCCGCTCTCCTCCGCCTCCTCCTCCTCCCCCTCCTCCCCCCTCCTCCTCCCCTGCCTCCTCCTCCTCCTCCTCCTCCTCCTCCTCCTCCTCCTCCTCCTCCTCCTCCTCCTCCTCCTCCTTCCCTCCGTCCTCCCTCCTCCCTCCTCCCTCCTCCCTCCTCCCTCCTCCTCTCCCTCCTCTCCTCCTCCCTCCTCCCTCCTCCCATCCTCCCTTCCTCCCTCCTCCCCCTCCCTCCTCCCTCCTCCTCCTCCCTCCTCCCTCCTCCCTCCTCCCTCCTCCCTCCTCCCTCCTCCCTCCTCCCTCCTCCTCTCCCTCCTCCCTCCTCCCTCCTCCCTCCTCCCTCCTCCCTCTCTCCCTCCTCCCTCCTCCCTCCTCCTCCCTCCCTCCCCCTCCTCCTCTCCTCCTCCCTCCTCCCTCCCCCTCCTCCCTCCTCCTCCTCCCTCCTCCCTCGCTCCCTCTCCCTCCTCCCTCCTCCCTCCTCCCTCCTCCCTCCTCCCTCCTCGCCTCCTCCTCCTCCTCCTCCCTCCTCCCTCACTCCCCCTCCTCCTCCTCCTCCTCCTCCTCCTCCTCCTCCTCCTCCTCGTCCTCCTCCCTCCTCCTCCTCCTCCTCCTCCTCCTCCTCCTCCTCCTCCTCCTCTCCCCCTCTCTCCTCCTCCTCCTCCTCCTCCTCTCCTCCTCCTCCTCCTCCTCCTCCTCCTCCTACCTCTCCTCCTCCTCCTCCCCCTCGCGGAAGGAGGGTGGGGGAAGCAGAGGGCCCCTTGAGGGCCCTCTCTTCGGGCCACCCCCGAGTGCCCCCCGCCCGAGAGGCGCCACGGCGGCTCTGGCGCCGGGCTGCTGCGGCGCTTCGCGTGGGGCCGCCTGCTGCACGGGCGGCTGCCGCCGGGGGGCCCCCTGCCGGAGGCAGCGCCGGCCTCGCTGGAGCTGTGGAGGTGGCGCGCGCAGGCCAAAAGAATGCATCCTTCGGGCAGGGCTGGGACGAGGAGCGTGGTTCTGTATTGCCTGGGGCACAATGGGCATAGAAGCCCCGGGCCCCCCCTCCCCCCCCCCCCCCAATAACGTACAAACGCCCCTCCCCCCCACCAGTGCGCTCCAGGGCACTGCCGCCGTGCCGCCACCCCGGCCGCGGCGGGGGAGGGAGGCGTTACATTCTTCCCCCCCCTTGTCCCCTCCCCCCCCCCTATGAGCCCCTTCTCGCCGAAAATACAGGAACGCGCTCGCGGACGAATCCGTTCCAGAGCGTTCCGGAGCGCTCTGTCGGAGCATGCCAGAACGCCTTGAGGAAGCCGCGGCGCCGGAGGCCTCATCCAGGAATGCTCCCGAGCCGCGGGATCTCATTCAGGATGGGGGAAAAAACACACAGACACAATTCATCGTCGATTCCCAAATATGGGACAATATGGGAAGTGGGGGGGAAGACAAAAACCCAGAAAATATGTAAAAATATGGGGAATCCAGTTATTTGTGTGTATTTATTTGTGTGTCCCAGGGCCCCTTCACTCATAGAATCTCGATTTACCCTCAACCGATTGTTTGTCCTCGTCCTGGCTTGGTCTTACCCTTGGGCTTCCCGCTCGGAATCCCCAGCGCCCGTCGCCGAGCCTTCGTACTCTCCGCCCTCCCTCGAGGTCAGTCGGCTCGATTCGGCCTCGAGGCTTTTGTCTGGGTGTTTTGTTTGTCTGGGCGTCGTGGTCAGGGTCACGCCGCGCTCTGTCCAGAGAATTATCTGGATGCCCTTTGGTTGCGCACATAATTAAGTTGTCGCGCTTTAATACGGCGTGCCCTCGTTGTGCCCACGTTGTGGCCGTGCCGATGTGAGTAAGGTCGCTATCACATTCGATGCTGCACATGCTGGGGACTGCATACGACCTCTAATGTGACTCGAACGTCTCTTGCATCTTGTCCTGGGTAGCTGGTCGGTGGCGCTTCTTGGAATCACGAGCGTTTTGGGGACGGGATGCAGTCTGGACAAGTTGGTGTTCAACGTCAGCAGTTGTAGACTCGCTTGGCCGGCTGGTGGCAGCGGCGTTGAGTCTTTGACCAGTCGTTGCGTTGACATAGAAACGCCAGCGTAGGCATCACATGTTATCCCAGTGGCACCCCGGTTCCCGAAGGTTTGCTCACGATCCCTTCCGAGATCAGCATGGCGCTGTTTCTGTTTTCCCTACCTCCTTTTTTCGCACGCCGCTGCCAATGTCCAGGCCGCGTTGGTTTCCAGAAGACCACCAGGAGGCATCAGCAGAGGCTCCCTGCACTCGGCTTTTAAGTCAGCGACGCAGAGGAGCCTCAGGCGCGAACAGCAGATGGAAGTGCGAACTGCCATCGAACGTTGTCGACAGCGCAGTGCACAAAGGGTGCACACTGTCAATGCAGCACTAGGTTTAAGTCGGGCCTGTCCCTCTACAGGAGGAATCTTCAAAAGTAGTCAAAAAATAGTCTGGGGACGATTTGTTTAAGTATTGTTTAAGTCATTCCTTCTCCCGCCTCCCTCTTTCCGCTTCGCGCCTGGCTCCTCTTCCCTCATCCCTCCTCCTGCCTCCCGCCTCCCGCTGCTGCGCCTCTGGACGCACTGGACGGGCACGCAATCGACCTTGGAAACCGCAGAGGGTTTAACAACCCTGGTTGGGGATACTGCACTCCGGCTATAATTCAAAGTATTGTTTGGCTACGTGGGGCTATGTTTTTATTTTTCGCCCCCAGATCCGCCTGTAGGGGGGCGTGCCCGACCTGACACGAGTCGGGCCGAACAAAAGGGGGCCGGCCCCCGAGCACGCAGGCCGCTGCGGTCGCGCCGCGCGGGGCGATTGGAAGGCCGCGCACGCGAGGCCACTCTTGCCCAGGGGCGCTCCCGCGTGTAGCCGATGCACTAAGGAGGAGGGGGAGGGGGAGGAGGGGGAGGAGGGGGAGGAGGAGGAGGAGGAGGAGGGGGAGGAGGAGGAGGAGGGAGGAGAGGAGGAGGAGGGAGGAGGAGGAGGAGGAGGATGAGGAGGAGGAGGGAGGAGGGAGGAGGGGGAGGGGGGGGAGGAGGAGGAGGAGGAGGAGGAGGAGGAAGAGGAGGAGGAGGAGGGGGAGGAGGAGGAGGCCAAGGGCAGAGGAGGAGGAAGAGGAGGAGGAGGAGGAGGAGGAAGAAGAAGAAAGAAGACTTGGCACTGCGCGTGGTCTGTGCCGATCTCTGCCCACGGAGGAGGAGGATCAGGAGGAGGACCAATGTAGACCCAAGACCCATCGACGATGTTGCAGCAAGCCCTCCCTCCAAGTTCCCTCTTCGTAGGGCCCCATACGTACAAGGGATCATTTTCTCCGAGGGAAGTGCCGTTTGAAAACCCTGAACTGTGCCAGAGCACCATTCTTGGGACTTCCACATCGCGAATCACCGTTACTGTTGCGTATGTTAGTCATGCGAATCCGTGACGCTGTTATCGAGTTGCCTTCGCCCCATCCCGCGCCACCGTGGCTGGGTTGTGGGTTAGAGGCCTCTTGGATGTTCGTTTGGATATCGTTGGAGGCCTCTGGGGCGGAAGGCTCGAATTGTCGGTTCGTGTTCCCCCTCTTGGGCCCCTCTTGGGGCCGTCTTGGGGCCTTCTTGGGTGCTTCGTGGGCCGTTTGGGGGCCCTCTTGGACAGTCTTGGGGCTTTTGTGGGGGGCCTCTTGCCATATTGTGGCGGTCTTGGGGGCCTCTGGGGCCATCTTGGAGCGTGGGAAGCCCGAAAACGCGAGGACGTGAAAAACATCGAAACACATTGGGCATCAATGATATGTGACATGTGCCTCTTTGGGCCCTCTTGGGGGTCCTCTTGGAGCGCTCTTGGGGCTTCTTTGGGGCCTCCTTGGGCCGTCTTGGGGCCATCGTGGGCGTCTTGGAGCGCTCTTGGGCTGTGTTGGAGGCATTTTGGACCCTCTTGGGCGCTTTCTGGGGCCCTCTCGGCCCGTCTTGGGGCCCACTGGCCTCTGGAAAAGTCATGCGGGGCAGCCCAAGACTGCGCGGGAACGTCTAGGAAACTTGAGAATTTGGGCCCCAGCCCTTAGAATACTAGATTCCCAGAGTCCTGGGTACAAAGAAGCGAGGACACATGAGGACCTGGAGAAAACTCCACTTCGCGCCTCGCGGCACGGTGGCGGACAACTCTTGAGACGAATGCAGACGGCGCTAAGGCGAGAGCCAAATGTTGAAAACGACCCGCTCTCCATCCGTGGAGTTGTTGCAAATTTTGGTACGAATGTGCGCAGCGCTAGGGCGAGAGCCACATTTCGAAAAGGAACCGCCCTCCATCTGCGAAGGTGCTGCAAACTTGTAAGACGAGCGTGTGCGGCGCTAAGGCGAGAGCAACATTTTGAGAACGACCCGCCCTCCATCCGTGAAGTTGATGCAAACTTTAATACGAATGTGCGCGGCGCTAGGGCGAGGTCCACATCTTGAAAGCGGCCCGCCCTTCATCCGTGAAAGTGCTGCGAACTTCTAAGACGAACGTGCGCGGCGCCGAGGCGAGCGCCACATTTTGAAAACGACCCGCCGTCCATCCGTGAAATTGTTGCACCTGTTACGCCTCAGGATCATAAATTGTGAGGGGGTCTTATTCGCAACGCCTGGCCCGCCGTTTCGATCGGCTCAGTGGCGCAAGACGGAGGAGTCCTGTATGAGGACAAGGGATGGAGGAGGAGGAGGAGGAGGAGGAGGAGGAGGAGGAGGAGAGGAGGAGGAGGAGGGGGAGGCGAGGAGGGAGGAGGAGGTAAGAGGAGGAGGAGGAGGAGGAGGGGGAGGAGGAGGGAGGAGGCCAGGGCAGAGGAGGAGTGATGAAGGAGGAGGAGGAGAAGAAGGAGGAGGCCAAGTGCCAGAGGGATTGGAGAGGTGAGAGGAGGAGGAGGCCAAGGGCAGAAGGAGGAGGAGGAGGAGGAGAGGAGTGAGGAGGAGGAGGAGGAGGGAGGAGGAGGGGGAGGAGGGGAGGAGGAGGAGGAGGAGGAGGAGGAGGAGGAGGAGGAGGAGGAGGAGGAGGAGGAGGAGGAGGAGGAGGAGGAGGCAGGAGGAGGCAGGAGGAGGCCACGGGCAGAGGGCCAGAGGTGATGGCCTCGGGCTTTGGGGGGCGCCCCGACCCTTATGTCGGGCCTGTTCCCCCACAGGGGGATTTCCGACGAAAAATAAAAAATACCCCCAAAATAGTCAAAAAATATTCAAAAAAATAGTCTGGGGAGCATTTTTTGAGTATTTGTTTACCTCTTTGGAGCATTTTGGGGGTATCTTTATTTTTTCGTCGACAATCCCCCTGTAGGGGGACACGCCCGACATAACCCGACCCCGTCAAAGGGGCCCAGCCCCGTGGGTGCCACCACCCTTCGAGGGCACGGGGGTGAGAACCAATCACAGCACGCTGGGATAAGGAACAGCATGGCTTCGGAAGGGGCTCGCTCTTCTCCTGCCCGCCTCAATGGCCCTTTCTCCTGCCCGCCTCGTGCACCCAGGCGGCATTGGTGCCCACAAGGGACAAGGGGCTTCGTCCATCAATTCGCGTTCCTTGTTGTGGTGGCCTCTGGCCAGTGCCGCCGATCCAGGGCGCTCCGGATGATGATGAGGATGAGGATGAGGATGAGGATGAGGATGAGGATGAGGATGAGGATGAGGATGAGGATGAGGATGATGGTGATGATGATGATGATGATGATGATGATGATGATGATGATGATGATGATGATGACGATGGTGATGGTGATGGAGATGATCCTGGCCCCCCCAAAAAAAACCGCCTCCTCCTGTCCCCCCCCTTTCTCCTGTCCCCTCCCCCCCCCTCTCTCCTTTCCCTCCCCCTCCCCCCTCTCTCCTGTCCCAACCCCCCCTCTCTCCTGTCCACAATTACTCAATATGAAAGTACTCTCCCTCTTCCCCTGATGGCGTCCGGGTGATGGCCGCGCACCCTCCGCGTACTGTTTTTTACAGGATGCCCGGGAAATCCTGG